ACATACATAGTTCAGTGACATTGACTACACTCTTCCAATTGTGCTGTTATTCTCACTTAAGATGAAGGCTTACAGAACAAAATAGTTTCTCATTTAACAATTACTACACATGTTGCCCTATGACAATGGTTAACAATCTCACAACACATCAACAGTATCCTTACTCAACCTTGCAAATCCACAAGTTTTATATCAAAATGAGTGAAAGTTTGATCTAGTTGGTGGTGTTGTAATGCATGCATACATACATGCTTGTCCCACTGAATCAATTCTTTAGATATAAAAAAGGAGTCCTGCTATTGGTAGTTGGTCAATTTGTGTTCACTCTGCAAACGTTTCCAAGGTGAGGAAGCCTGTTTGTATTCCAAAATTATCTTAAAGCCCTTGAAAGTCTGACCTGATGGAACAGTAGGCCAGAGTCATGAAATAAAATTTTATGATAAAGGTAATGATTGCACTAAGAGTAAACGTACTTTTACAAAATAAACTCTTATTTACCTGGTGACTGTTGGACCTCCTGGATGGTGATGGTTATAAAAGCATATTTAATTGTATACATAATTAAAGTGTTTGCCCTTTGTCATATTTAAACACCTAAGACTCTGGGGCTTTTATTTACTTAGTGTATTCCCCAAACCTGAGCCCCTGCAAATATACATATCTCCCTGGAAAGCCATGTATTGAACTTTGTACCATAGGACAGGAACATGGGTTGCCTTTATTGGACAAGCCTAACCTCACACTGCAGAGACCACAGAGGGTCTGAGTCTGACTGATGCATGGTGGCGTTCAGGGTCCTGGTCTGGTGCTCTTCACCCTCAGTCTGCACACTTGGCGTCTGTTCTCAGGCTAAGGAGGGGTGGGCAGAGGTACTTTTATCAGATCCCCATTCATCTTGCCAAAATGTTTATTGAGTTCTTCCTATGCTGAATGCTGTAAGGTAGTCAGAGACAACAAGCTCCTGTAGACCTGTTCCAGGATGGCCTGAGTCAGATTTAAACATCTAAGACAGCGCCAGACAATGGTGTTCTTTCAATCTCTTTCTTCCGACATTCCAAGATTGTTGCTAGAGCTGTATGAATCCTTTTAGTTTCAGAAAAGGTTAAATATTCAGTACTTTGCCAGCCAGTTATCTAAAAACTTGACATTGGACGCTTTCAGTACTAGATTCCCTCATTATTCGAGCAGGTGTCACTAATACTCCAGGGAACTTTGGTTTTTTTTTTTTTTTACATATATGTGTGCACCTTCTTTTCCCCTACCTAAGGTGGCACAGTGGTTAAGAGCATGGCTGCTAACCAAAAGGTCGGCAGTTGAAATCCACCAGCTGCTCCTTGGAAACCCTGCAGGGCAGTTCTGCTCTGTCCTATTGAGTCGCTATGAGTTGAAATTGACTCGAAAACAATGGGTTTTTTTTTTTGGGTTTTTTTTTTAACGTGAACGTACATCCCAGTGCCCAGAACAGTTTTGGTTTATGCTTGTTGTGGTATATTCTCAAAATATCCCAGTTCAGGCACCAGGAGAGATTAAGTAATCCATTGGACTCTTAAATGCATAAGGCAGTTTTTTGTTAACTATACCTAAGATGCTTATAACCTGTAATAAATATTTTCTACTTAAAGATAAACTTCAGTACATACAAAGAGGTTTGTGTCTGCATTAGTCTAGATGTGTAGAATAATCTACTCCTCTAGAAAGTTATATAATGAATAATTGCACATTATAACAAAGGGACTGTATACTTATTGCCTTAGTTTGAATTTGTACTTTCCTAAGGTTTTGAGAGAGCAGTCTTAATAGAGAATTGTTTTATTTTTCCTACTGAATTTTTACTAGAAGAAAGTTTTCAGTAGGTCAGAAATGACAGGCTTGGCTATCATCTTGAGTTCGTTTAGTCTCACAGTTGTACTGTAGCCATAATTAAACTAAGACTGTGGAGGAAAGTTACAGTAAAGAATGTGGGTGAGAAACTAAATAGTTGCCTGTCTTAGGCCTAACAATGACCATGTTCTTCTCCTACAGACGGACAAGGTCGGAAAGGCTTTTAAGTACTTGGAGGCCGTCTTGTCCTTTATTGAGTGTGGAATTGCCATGGAGTCTGAAAGCCCGGCGTCAAAGTCAGCTTACTCTGTATACTCAGAAACTATAGATCTCATTAAGTAAGTGCCAAGTAATTTTGTGATCCTCTTAAGTACTTTTCTTCCCTCACTTTTATTGCCTTAGTCCATTTGAACCTTAGTGTGTATGAAGATGGCTCAGTAGAAGGAAGCCTTGAAAAAGTTACTGGTCTGAGATTTTTTTTTTTTTTTTTGGTCCTAAACTAAAATTATACTCTAGGTGAAATGCTAGAACAGAATTAGTTGTCCAGCTACATCATTTTGCCAAGTGCACTGTGAAATGCCAAACCTTTCAGGGAGAGTTTATTTTTTCCAGTTTAGCTTTCTTATCAGATGCCCTCTCATCTGAGATTAAGCCTTGTTCTTTGTTTATTATTTGCATTTTAACAGAGATCTCAGGAAGGACATACCTCTACTTGGTTTCAAGCAGGTAGGCAGGCCAGAGACACACATCCTCACTTAGTTTTCTGAGTGGCCTGCATTGTTGCTCTAAAGCCTCATTTTTCTGCATTACTCTTATGTCTTTACATCTTCAGGAAAAATCAGTTCTAAAACTACAACGAACATAAGATTTGTTTCTGGGATTGTTTAAGCCTTTGTTTAACCTGGTATACTTCTGTGTTTTCCTGTAGATTCGTAATGTCGTTAAAATCCTTCTCAGATGCCACAACACCAACACAAGAGAGAATATTTGCTGTTTTATGGTGCGTACTTTTTTCTTTGTCTAAGTAGTACTAAGTTTGTGTTTGTATCTTTTGATGCTATAAAATGATTTTCAATGTGAAAATTAAGTAGAAAGGCAAGTCAGTAGCAGAAAGGAATAGAATGTGTGGTCCAGAGGGTTAATCCCACTAAGAGTTTTATGAATGACATCTGCTACCATTTTACTGATGACTCAGTGAATACTTTGGTCTTGTGACTTCAGTTATATCCTTGTATATTTGTGTTGTTCCACCAGTGTGACTTTTGGTGATAGTGTGAACAGAGCAGTAAGAGTTTTTGCCGAGCCCCACCAACTGTTATTGTATGATGGCAGACTCTCTAGTGCCATTGCGTTCACATACAGTGTGCAGGCTGCAGATATCCCGCTTTGCCTTGAATCGTGCACTAAAGATCACCCTTCAGTTGTTCATTCACCACATGCCCTCATGCTCCAGGTACTATGATCTTTTAACAGTTTTTTTTTTTTCCAGCAGTAAGAGTCTTGAGATACTCTTCCTTCTTCACGTATGAGGAAACCCAGTGTGTTCATTAGGCTGTAAAAAATTAGATGGTATTTTTCTGTAGTAGTGATAGACATGTCCACACGGCAGTACTTCACCTTGACTTTTTTTCCCCTATATTCATAGCATGCGTTGCCAGTCCATTTTGAACATGGCTATGTTTCGTTGTAAAAAAGACACAGCAATAAAGTATTCTCGTACTCTTAATGAACACTTCAAGAGTTCTTCCAGAGTTGCCCAAGTATCTTCTCCATGCATTGCAAGGTAACTATAAATCTAAATAATTTCCAAAATTGAGTCATTTCTTTATTTACCTCTTGCTTTAGCAACCATTTGTATAAACATGTGACTTTGATTTTTTTAAAAATGTATACTTTGTGCTGATTTGCTCCTTAATCTTAAATCACTTAAATTACTACCTTTCTGAGGAATAGTTATAAATGAAGGTGTTTGTGTATTGGATAACATAAGAAAGATAATTGCAAAGAATATAGAGTCAAGAGTTTAGAGTATTAAAAAGCTTTAGGCTAAGAACAAAAAACACCTAGAGGCAGAGCCAAAACAGAACCAGAACCAAAGTCCTTCCTGCCTCCATATGACATGTCTTCTTGGTGTTTCAATAAACAAGAACTTTCTGGAACCATATGCCCTCGCATCTTACACAGGACCCATACTAGTGACATTAAGAATGAAAACGTTTATCTCTAGCAAAATTATTTTCCCCACTTTGTGAACTGAACTTGTTTACATGTGCTGTAAGATGCTGTATAATAGAATCCTTATGCAGGTGTTCTTAAGATGAAGATAGAATGTTCTTCCCTATAGGCCTTGCCTAGTCTCTTTTTTTTTTTCTTTTTTTGGTTATGCTCCTTGAATAGTTTCTAGTTCTGATAAGTTTTGCTATTTTAAGAATGTCGCTTAGAAGAATGCCCCATTTCCTGCACATTCAAAGGAAGAGACTCCCATATGGCCTTTCTTAAAAAAGAAAGCCCTGATTGAGAAGTAACTGCTTACCTCTGATCATTTTCACCACTCCCATTCTGAGATATTCTTCTTTGCTAACAGGGTGTCAGTCACATTGTTTTAAGACAACTCTTTAAACAATTTGTCCAGCCAGTATATATTGAGCATCTCTTTTGTACCAAACCTTGTTCTAGGTACTAGGGATATGGCAGTAGCCAAAGCAGACAAGATCACTGCCTTCTTGGAGCTTCCACTCTGGTCTCTGAAAGTATACATTTTGCTGGGTGCACGTATGACCCGTGCAGCCCAAAGAGGAGATGTACCATATTATGAGTCTGCTTCTACTGGCCTGTCTTTCTGTTTTATATCCATTTACTTTTTAATGTCTAAGTGATTTCATTTGTCTTTTGGCTCATAATGTGGCACATATAATTTGCATGCCCACAAGAGCCTACAAGTCCCAAGAATGCAAAGATTAATAAGAGATGGTTTCTGTTTTCATGGTGCTTGTGACTCAGAAAAAGGAATAGACAGAAAATTATGGTGGAATGTGTTAAATGCAATAAAGGAAATAAGTTCAAGTGGTAGCAGAAAGGACACTGATGAATCCCCAGTGTCTAGGAGAGTGCCTTGTGCATAGTAGATGCTCAGTTAATGTTAATGGAGTGGATGAATAAATGAATGTTAATGTATTTATATATGTGTGTACAAACTTGCACAGTGGTTAAGCATTTGGCTGCTAACCAAAAGGTCGGCAGTTCAAATCCACCAGCTGCTCTTTGGAAACCCTATGGAGCAGTTCTACTCTGTCCTGTAGGGTTGCTGTGAGTCAAAATCGATTCTATGGCAATGGATTTGGTTTTTGGTTTTATAGGTGTGTATAATATGTATGTGTGTGTGTTTATATATATGTATCTGTATATATGTACAGATACATGAGATTTTAGGACCATCTTCACAGGGGAATTTATGGTTTATGAAGATAAATTCATTGAGGGTGGGGAGAGGAGGAATTCTTGGCAGAGGGAACACAATATGGAGATGGTGTGGGAATGCATATTTTCGATACAGATTAGCCTACCTGAATTCTGTGCCCAGGAAGGAGACCATACCTGAGCCAGGTGTTACTTTTTCTATTTGTTGGGCCCCTCTCACTGTGTTTATGGGTAGAGTCCGAAAATACTGAAGGTGAAGGGGTACTTCTTTGAACTTGTCAGAGTGACTTTAGAAGGGATTATCATTTGGGCTAGGTACGCACTGAAACTTTGTGACTTGGACTGCCATTCCAGAGAAAATCTATAATCTGGGAGTCTAGGTAATTGTTTAACCAGTTCTTTCTCTTCTCTTCCACCTTCCAGAAGCACAGGCACACCACCCCCTCTTTCCCCCATGCCTTCTCCTGCCAGCTCTGGAGGGTCCCAGCCAAGTGCTGGCAGTGTGGGGAGTGGTGGGATGACCGCCACCATCAGTACCCCAGTCACCATCCAAAACATGACATCTTCCTACGTCACCATCACTTCCCATGTCCTTACCGCCTTTGATCTTTGGGAACAAGCTGAGGTCCTTATAAGGAAGAATAAAGGTAAATGGTTCTGTGGTGGTAATTACCGGAGTGTGGGGATTGGGAAGGAATATAGGGTTGGTTTATATATTATGTTCAGTTTGTCAAAGAAAGGGAAATGAGTAGTTGTTTACTTCTTTCATGTTTTCTCTATTCTACCTTATAACCTCGTTTCAATTCTTTCTTGAGTTCTGAAGCATGGAGCTGGATTTCTGTGGCTAGCTCTTAGCAAAACTAAATCAGAAGTGGTTTCAGCACATTGCCCCTTCATAAGTTCCAGAGTCTGTATTTCAGCCTGAACTGAAATGCTAGTAAAACGGCAAAGCAAACAAGGAAAGTCCCTTTTCCTAGGCTCAACAAATTGGAGATATAAGTACCGTAACTCAAAAATACTGACTGTATTGTTTGTTTTCGTTATATGTTAAGAAAGATGGTTAGAGATAATAGGAGAAATATGGCATAGTAAACATTCCGGAGATTTGTTTTGGAAGGAGGAGACCCTTGGAGAAACTCAAGATTTAGGAGATGGAAAAGCTTACTATTAGGGGAGCTGCTTGGTGTCTGTGTCAGCAACTACTAAGTAAATGCTTATATGTGAATGGCAGCAGTCAGTCAATTTCTGCACAGCCTCTTAGAACTTTCTTAGCAAACTCATGATGCTTTTACATGTTTTTTTTCCTTTTTCCCACTTATGCATCCATTGATCCGAAAGTGTACCTTGGGGATTTTCTGATTTCCAGGTACTGTGTGAGGCATTGTGGATTGAACTATAAAACAAGTGAAGTTCTTTAGCCTTCTAGTCTAGTGGAAGGATGTGGAGAATTAGCAAACAATTCTAGCACATTGTGATTTTTTTTTTTTGCTATGATAGGTGAAGTACAGAATATTGTAGGGTCATGGTTTCTGGAACCACAACTTCTTGTCTGTCCATTTTTATTTTTGTGTGTGCATGTGTATTTACTTGGTTTGGTTTGGTTTTGTTTGCAGAATTCTTTGCTCAGCTCAGCACAAGTGTGTGTCCCCTGGCCCTCAACAGCAGTTTGATGGACCTGGTGCACTATACAAGACAGGGTTTTCAGCGGCTGAAACAAGTTACCAAAACACCTTAATGGACGCCCAAGTTGATTCAATGCCTTGGGAACTTTTTTGCACATTGAAAGCCTCAAAAACAGTCCGGACATTTGTCTCATCAGGAGACACCAAACTCAAACAGAGAAATAACCATGAGATGGCTCGGGCGTTTGTCCACTTAAATTCTCAAGAACTGTGTGATCATTGGTTGGACACAATGGTTATGCAGGAGCAGAGATGAGGAGGCCTCAGAGATGATCTTGCCTTTCCTGACTAAAGGACAGAAGTGCAATGTAGCCTAAATGGTTGTATGAATGGTCTAGAAACATTTCCATATTTTTTTTAACCAGCAGGATGAAAGTTGCAAATGAAATGAGGCGAGGAGAAGCAATGTCAGCTCTGAAAGCAAATTTACGTCATCTCAGTAGCCATACTAGTCTGTTCCCAGAAGGAAAAAATGTTTTTTTTAAACAATGATTTTTGGTGTCGGGTTTTGTGGATGATTTCTTTTTTCCTTTTAAGTTTTGGGGGAAATATTTGTTTAATAAGTTCTAACAGTCATCTATAAAACATAAGTTGTGAAGAATTTCACTGTATCCTACTTTCTGCTAATGAACAGTGGCTTTGATAATACCAAGTATTGTCATAATTTATAAAATCGAAGGCGACCCCATTGCCTGGAGTACTGCATGTTCACCCTGCTCTGGTTTCTCCGTTACTGTGCTGCAAGTCAGCCCTCGTCAGAGCAGTGGGAGAGGAGCCGCAGCGCACGGGAGCCGTCTTGACATCTCTGTGTACTAGGGGCAGACTTGGCACTGCCACTTCCCTGCCTGCTTCAGCCAAAGGGACTCTCACAAGGCAGTCACCATTGACTATATTTGAATTTCCTACCTTGGGGAAGAAGGGAATCAACATCTGTATCTGACCAGATGGCTAAAGTGCTTTTTAATTTCTGTTCTAGTAGAGCTGGAATTTGAGCTGCTGGTGTGTGGTCTACAGTTATGTGGGAACTCATATTGTCTGACCAACTCAGTTTTGTCAGTGAACAAAGAAAAATGAAATCTACTTCTTAGGCTATATTTTTCTGCTGCAAATTATATTTATAGCATGACTAGACTTTTAGAGCCCTTGGTTGTCTAGAAGGGAACGGAACTGCCTGAGAGGATGTGGAGATTTGGGGTGGTTTAATTAGACTTTTTAAAAAATCGTCACCACATGCCTTCACTCCAGAATGTGTTCTCAGTCAACTAGATTTGATTAGATTGAAGAGAAACCGTGGCCTTCTCGTAAGTTGTTGTTGCCATACTATATACATTAAGCCAAGTTCGTTTTAAATGACCTAAAATGAAAGAACATATTCAGAATCCCCACATGCCCATAAGCACAGATTTTCTTTTTTGTTGAAACTTGGAAGGTTCAACTGGAGACATTTTGAGTGCAGTGTTTTTAAAAGCCAATTCTTTTTGTCCCTTTTAGAAGTAGTAGAATTTGCACATGTATTAAAATTGAGGAGTAAATGTCATCTATATAACAAACAGGTTTATTTCTTTCCCCTCACCCCATTCTTGCCCTCTACATGCTCTGTTTCCTACCAAGCATGTTTGACATTGTCATGTTTATTTACTAGGGAAGAACGAAGTACCATCTTATTTCTAATGAACAAGCTTAGGGTCCATATGAGGAATGTAAGCACGTGCTTGGTAGTCTGGTAAATACATAAGGGGATGTGTAGAGGATGGCAGCAATGCTTATTTTTCAAAGTACAAACTGTTTATGTGAAGCCGCTGCTTCAGTTTCTTATCCAGCCTGTTCTTTTGTTACCAGTAGCTAGGTCAGAGGTCGTTACCTCATGTTTAGGTTAAAGCCCAGAGAATTACCGCAGTAGTAACATCTGAGCATAAGACATTGACACATGACCCTGATGGACCAGTTTCACTTATTGATATTGTGAAGCTAAGCCACAGTCCTTTTTAAACTACTGGTTTAAGAAACAATTTGTCGCTAAACGAACAATGACTGCCTGATAAGTTGTGTGCTTATGGCATTGTGTGTCTGTCCCTTATGTGTAGGGGATGAGACCACAGTCAAGCATATATGAGGATTTAACATCTATTTATTCTTACTCCCTTGGCCGCCTCCATCCCTTCTCCTTGTCACTCCCCAAAACAAGCCACCTGTGAAACTTTCTGAAGGGTCATGATCTTTGTGACAGGTCCTGATCTGTGCAGATTGGGCTGGAGCATGGGCATGTTCCATCAGCGAGCCACAAGTCTCCCTTGACGGAGACGTTTCTAAGTAAATTTCTCAGCCAACTCTAAAAGCAGTGATTGCCTTTTCTGGGCATTACTCTTCGTGGGGTGTTTTTTTTTTTTTCCCTGACCTCTGTGTTAAAAATTTAATTGCCCCTTGAAAAACTAACACATTTTGCATAGATCAGTATATACTATTCTTTCACAATCTTACTGCAACATGCATTGTACCCAAAAAAGAATTCCTACTGGCCACCTTTTAAATGGAATGTGTAAAAGGCATTGGCTGATGGATCCTTAATGTTCATAAAGTCTTTTTGCTGTTACAGTTGTATATAGAAATCTAAAGGATTTTTTTTTTAAAATCATTTGCACTTTTTCACTGCATGCTTAAATTCCCAAAGGCAAAATTTGTACTGAGGCAGATAATTGAGAGGGGTCCAGATTATAAAATTAATAAACCTTTGAATATGTGAAGTTCTTATAATAACAGTAGTAGTACAACTTTGCAATGAGACAAGTATATAGATTTCAGAATAACTTAAGGAGTGAAAATAGAGTATAAAATCTTGCCTTTGGCACTACAGTTTTATGAGTGTGTGTCTGTGTGTCTGTCTGCCTTTAATAGGAAATGGGAGAACACTGTTTTACTTTTTAAAGTGTTGAATGTTTCTGTCCTTTCTGGAAACAATTAAAATGTGAATAAATTGAACTTGGTATAGACTAAGAGCCCTGCTAAACAACAAAAAACACTTTACTGCAATTTACCAAATTACACAGAGTTAAGATTGTGAAAAACTCGGTCATGCGCTATTGCTATTGGTGGTGAAGAGAGAGAGGATGCAGCAGAATTACATTAGAATAATTTGACTTTATCAGATGTTATGATTTGACCACAATACTGAATGGGATCTGAGGTTTTTGAATGAAAGCATCTTTATTTTATAGGTCTGTTTTGACCCAAATATGTAGCTATTTCCTCCTAAAGAAATTGGACCACACTTATTTCTATTGTTCTATATCTTTCCAGGCCTCAGGATATTTAGAAGCTAACAAACTATCCCTTTCTGGCTAGAAATTTGTCTTAAATATTAATGTTAGTAGGATCAGAAACTTCCTATTATTAGTATTATGATTCGGTTTCAGTAATTTTTAGAAGCAAAAAGGAAACCATCGTGCCCTCCAAAATGAACAAAACTCTTTCAGATATAGGGAAGGCTTTCTGTATAATACATATGTATATATGCACACACACACATATAACCCAGAGTAAGAGGCTGATTGAGTTGGATATATTTATTATTGTACCTGTATTGACCAAACTTAATTTTGAAATGATGCTGTATTTATTTTGCCATGGCTTCAAGGGATGTTACGTGGGACTTGCACCTTTTATTGTGCTTCATGAAGTTTGAGGTCTCATTGTCCACCTTAAGGTAAATGAACCAAATAAGGCTTGATGTTGGGCTTTTTTTTTTTTAACTGTACTTTTCCTGCCTCCCACCACAGATTATATTTTTTTAATGGTCTTTTTTCCCAGACACTACACAAAATCTTTGAAAAACTTTGCTACTTCGTCTATTACATTCACCACCACCACCACCGATTAGCAGTATTTAAATCTTACAAGAATATTTTGGTCTTCCTTTAGAAAGACAAAAGTATGGATCTTCTCACTTGGAAGTGAGAGCCATGGAGTAATGTCAGGCTCAACTGTGGCGGTACTTGTTCTTTTTCCCCTTTGTCTAGTGAGTTGCTTCTTTTGTTTATGCTTTTGGTCCCATTTAGAATTAATGGATGTAAGGTATTTTTTCGGTGTCTCTTTTATTTTTTGTCATTTTGCTGGGGGGAGATGGAGTGGCAGAAAAACATGGTGTTAGGGATTCTGCTTCAAACATTGCAAGTGGTATTTTTACCATGTAAACCTCAAATATGCAATCCAGTTGTGCTGGTTTCTCTGAACCAGTGCAGCTGTGTGACGGAGAATGCACATCTGTTCATGAATTGTGAGCACTGGCCATGTTGTTTAGTTCCTATTTATGGTGAGTTGACAAGTACCATCCACCACCTTTGTGAAGGTGGCTGTAAATTTCGTATGGTCCAGGGGGAGATCACACTATATTCTGTCCATGGTGCATCAGATAGCAGCAGGTACTTGATGAGCAGAGAAGTGTCTACACAAGGAGCCTGACAGGGCAGGGAGGAAATACAGAGCTCCTTGTGAGCCTGTATATTAATCTATTGGCCTGGGAGGAAAGGGAATAAGACCACTGACAGCAAGGCTGGCCAAGCTGCACTGGTCAGACCAGGCAGTGGCTGACCTAAGGAAGAGGATTTGCTTTGCTTAAAAGTAGATATTTAAGCGATGCTTAACACAGGCAGTATTAACTTTGCCTTTTGTTCAGGCCTTCAACATGTATTGTTATAATTCCTGCACACCCCCTTTGGATATCAAGTATACACTGTTCATGTTGTGCATGTGTATGTAAGTATGTGTCCCAAATCTTGTTGTTTTTTTTTTTTTCTTCTCTGAATGTGATCATGTTTTGGATGACACCTGAGCAGGGTTGCCTTTTTTTTTTTTTATTTATTACCATTATATATTATATTATATTATATATTTTTTGCTTTCTTATAACTTTAGAGGAAAGTCAAATCTTGGTATTATTAAAATTGTTTAAAAGGAATAAATTGTCCAGTTGATAAATGAAGATCACTGGTCTGTCTTTAAAATAATATGAATTTTTCTTTAATTACTGTAGAATAACGTGCCAGCTATCTAGTCACCACAGTGATTTTGTATATAGGATAGGGAAGCAGTGAGCTCTCAATGGGAAGATGTGCAAATTAATAAGGGGACTCCGTGGATTTTATCTACTTCAGCATTGGAACTGCAACTTGGGGCTTTTGTGAATAAAATTTAGCTGCCTTGTATAGTCTTTTGAAAGAGACACATCTGATCTGTGAGAGAATTATAGTTTGTTTTCTTTTTTTAGAAGAAAAATTTGCAAAAGATCTTTCCAAAGATAATGTGCCACAGATCTTTTGTTTGTTGTTCTGTTATGAGGATTAATTGCTGTTTAAAAAAAATGTAATTGACTTGTTCATCTTCAAATTCTTTCCTTTCCACAAGAGGACTGAGCTGTAAAAAATTAAATAAAAATTTAGAGAAATCATTGGAGTTGAATCCATGCTTTCACTTTGTCTGAATAAAACACTTAAAATAGTTATTGCTATCTGAAATTAACCATTATATCCAAGGATAGTCTCACATAGAGTAATGTGCTCTAATTAATAGTGTTTATTGTTGAAATGGGGGAAGAAGTGTGGACAGAAAGCTCCTTCTTCTGTTTAATTGCCAGATCATACACAAATCAGCCTAATAGCACCAATGTGGCTTCTTATCCTAACATCAATTGCCAGGTGCAGCAGTGACCAAGTTTTCCTATTTTAAAATCTGCTTGGTAGATAGATTTGTAGAATGTTGGTATTGGAAGGAATTAAAAAGGTCATCTGCTCTCTTCTCCCTTTGTCACCCCTAAAGAAGGAATACTTTACCTCATCGATTTCATGTCTGTTTTCCTTCTGCTTCGCCAGCCCTGGGTATGCTTGGAAAATGGGAAGGGAAAAGAATCACCCAATTTGGTAGGTGGGAAATGTGTCCCTGGTATTTTCATTTACATTTCTTTTAATTCCTTTGGTACCAAGTGTTTTTTTTTTTTTTCCTCTCTCACATGTTGCCATTTGCAGTACCTGGGTTATGTGACCAGTACTCTTGAACGTGTTCAAGTGCCCATCCCAGGTAGATGTGGGGAAGGCTGTTTTCACATGAGTCATATGGAATGAGTTCCCCACTAGAAAGGGTTTGGTTAATAAAGGAGGAAGGGATGCTGAGCAGTAAGAGAGAACAGATGATCCCTCCAGGCTACTCTTCCCTGCCCCCTCCGCCTTGATTTATATATTCAGGATATTAACCTTTTATTGTGGTACAAACATTTCCCTCCAAATTATCTTTTGCTTTTCAGTTTTTATTATGGTGTTTTTTGACATAATTTTTTTTTTTAGTGTTAAGTAGGCAGACTTCTAATGTTCTGCAGTTTCTGTTTTCGGTGTCTGGATAATACACACAAGGGGTGTTTCCCAGACACTGCAAGGCAGTTTGTCTGTACCACCGAGTACTGGCACCAACCTTGTGCGTTAAGTAGTGGTGATAACTGTGATTCCCTTGTGTCTTTCTCAGTCTTTTCATTAGCAAGTATTTAGGCACTTTTGAAGCCCGAAATTACTTGAATACATATTTATTTGGTCACTGTTTGCCGGGGTTGTTGGGAATGTAAATTGTCACACTCAGGGCTATTTTTAATTGTCATCTAGGTAGTGTCTAGAGCCTTCAAATCCATTCCAAAACAACTTTGAAGCCCAGTGGGCTTTACCAGTATATAATCAGAGGTTTATCTGCTGTTACTTTGGCTGTGATTAAGTAATTGTACCCGTCTAGTGTTTTGTCTTAAGAACAGGAATCTTTTCAGCATTTGTGGTTTCCGTGTAGACCACACTCGGCTGAAAGCAAGACGGTATTGAGACGCCAAGGCTCTGATAACAAAGGCCTGTGCCCTTCTAACAGGCTAGAGACCAGGCCTTGAAATACTTTCCAAACAGACAATTCTATTTTAGCTTTAAAAGACTGTGTACCTGCTCTAGATAAGTACTTCAAATCACCCTTCTCTATTACTGGAACCCAGTTCCAACATCTCATTTACCTTTTTTCATGTGTAGGAGGCAGACACAATTATGGGTTTATATTTCTCCACTACTAAATATTCCCTGTAATTATCCGCTAAGCAACAACACACATTTTTCTACACGTATGTACACTCTTGGCGTCCAGTCCTTGGGTGGTACGGATGGCTGTAACACGCTCAGCCACTAACTGACAGGTTGGTGTTTCAAGCCCATGTGATCTACTCCCCAAAAATCGGCCATTGAAAACCCTGTAGAGCACAGTGACACACATGGGGTCACCACTGAGTTGGAACTGACTCAACAACTGATTTGATTTTTATACACACATGGAAAACCAACCGTACTCAACTGTGAATGGGCTTTTGGAAAATGCCTCTGACTATTTAGTGCCAGGTCAGCGGTTCAGATC